ATTTTTTTTTTGAAATTTTCAAATTTTGACCCGGCCGGGTTATGAAAACCAATTAATTAATTTTGCATGGCCTTATAGAAGTTATCAATTTAAAGTTTTTTATTGATTAAATAGAATTAGCCAATCATAATTGTGTAGTTTAAAATTTAGCACTCTTCACTGAAGAGGTGTTGATTTATATTGTTTTACACTATATACCGTACAGTATATTGTGTACTTTCTCAATCATTATTAAAATAAATATTATCTTATTTATTAAAATTGTATATTTTACCCTTATTATAACATGACCCACTTAGTATCGCCACCAGGGCACAAAATTATATTGTAAAATACTGGAAGTTCCGTTTAAGTTGACTTCCGGTGTTACATTCAAAATTTGTGCTGCGCCTATCTTTTTAATTTCTTTATTGTTTATTTTTTTATTATTATTTTATTACACGTATTATATTTTCTTTATTTTATTTTATTATTATAATTATTATTATTACTTTAATTCCCCACCCCCGCGTATAATTAATTAGATAGCCTTTGGCTAGATGTTTAAGTGTATGATTGAGAATCATACTTTTCCTATTTTAGTCCACGATTGTCCGATTGTCGTTAATTCCATTTCGGGTAAGTCCAATTTCCGGAGAAGTCTGATCGTTGGGGTTGTGTAAAGGAATGTTGAAGAAGATAGAATGTTAAGGAAGTTTTCATCAATGACTTCAATAATATCTTGAAATTCTTGCCAAGTTGTTCAATGACAGCTGCGGAATTTCTTTCATGTATAAAAGCCTTTGATTTCGACTTGATGTATCTTTAGGCTAGATCTGATTGATTTCTCCTTTATAATAAAGACTATCTGAGTGATTTCTTGAATTATATCACATATCTCTATTTACATTTTCTCATGACTATTTTACATATACACTGCACACTTGCAATTGCTTACACTGACTTTATACACTCTTACTAAACTATATACATTTCTAATCAATATACTCATATATATTTTCCACATACATACTTATATTTGATTACTGTTCTGATTTAGACCAGCACTTTATTATTTATTTACTCTCCTGCTGACAGTAACATATAGTGCCAATTGTGTGAATTTTGAATAATATACTTCAGAGTTCACACCACAACAAACAACTTGCAATTCTAAATATATTATAACTATCTTATACCATATCTTTATTTTTCACATTCTTTCTATTTATATTTTAACTTCATCCTTCTTCTCTATATAGATGATATAATAATTCATCAACCTAGCTGCTTGGTCTCCTTGTTGACAGAATATTATCAACTTGTTTAAATCATAGACCAATTGATTCAATTGCTAATGATTTTTAATACTGTTCAATCTTCGGCTTCTTCAATACAAAGACCCAAGTCCTAAAAGTTAAAATTCATCATCTGCTACAATTGCCACCAGATCAACATTATGCCTCTAAACATATATTTCTATATACAACAAAAGCTAGCCAAAGTTCAGATCTTGATTTTACTGAACTTTTGTCTTTTGCTTCTGAAAAAATTCAAGAGTCCTTTGAGAGCTCTAATGGATATAAGCCTGATTTAGATTTATCAGATTGTACTTCTGAAAGTTTTCAAGAAATGGTTTTTGAAAGAAGCTTTGGTAATTACAATTTCAACAAAGAAGCCTTGTGCATCTGGGCTGCTGAAAAAACACAGCTTTATTGTTATGATTGGAAGATGAAAAAAGTGAATCCAATGAAAAAATCACTTTTGACTAGTAGATTAAAAAGAAGTTCACATCTATTATATCACCTTCATTCTATTGCATAAAAAAAAATTTTTTCTTTTTTGAGATATGTTAAAGAGCCTGTACAAGAATTCGGTTCTCCCACTTACTTTTTGTGCTTTGAATATGCAAGATGATAGTTTCTTTTAGAATATTCACATCAACAAAATTCAAAGTTAGAAAGATATAATCACATACCCTTCAAATACTAGGGCTAAAAGAGTTTTACTGTGTACTCTCTAGTATGAAGTCCTTGTTGAATTTCTTAAAGAAGATGCAAAGCATTTAAATATTTCAAAATTGTGTTTGGGAATTTCTTTCTTGACTCTAATGAATTTTTGACAATGTATTTCTTAGATATAAACCACTTTAGAGTCATTAAAAATGGACCTGGGTCTTATTTAAAGATTTTTAGAATTTTTTTGCAGAGTTAATTAATAATTGCATTTGTTAATAGGCATTTCAAATCTGAAGAAAATTCCTGTATTTATTAATAGGATTTTTGCAGGAGCTTAAAATTTAAGAAGATGAATATTATATTCAAATTTGTACTGCACCTATCTTTTTAATTTTTTTATTATTTATTCTTTTATTATTATTTATTATATGATTATATTTTATTTATTATTATTATTATTATTATTATTACTTTAATTTTTTACCCTCATATATAATTAATTAGATAGCCTTTATTATTCTTCGACTAGTTGTTTGAGCATATGATTAATAATCACACTTTTTTTATTTTAGTTCACAATTGTTTGATTGTTATTAATTCCATTTTAGATAAGCCCAATTTTCAAGAAAGTTTAATGGGATTAAAGATTTAATTATATCATTAATTATTGAGATTGTGTAAAGAAATATTGAAAAAAATAGAATATTAAAGAAGTTTTTATTAATAACTTTAATGATATCTTGAAATTCTTGTCAAATCATTCAATAATAGCTACAAGATTTCTTTCATATATAAAAGCCCTTCAATTTTAGCTTGATATATCTTTAGGCTAGATCTGAGTAATTCCTTCTTTATAATAAAAACTATCTGAGTAATTTTTTTAATTATATTGTATATCTTTATCTATATTTTTTTATGACTATTTTATATATATACTGTATATTTGCAATTGCTTACACTGACTTTACACACTCTTATTAAACTATATATATCTCTAATTAATATACTTATATATATTTCTATATATATATACTTATATTCGATTACTGTTTTGATTTAAACTAGCACTTCATTTATTTATTTGTTCTCCTGCTAATAGTAACACTGGCATAGTTTTAAAATGGCTAAAAATTTTATAATATTAAATATATTGCAGAAGTTTTAAATTTTATTTACTAAAAAAAAGCAAATTATATTATTTAAAAATTTTGTGCTCTAATCACTACCAAGATTATATATATATATAATCAGTTTTTAAATTTATTTGCTAACATTAAGATTAATTATTGATACAATAATGATGATATTTGAATAATAATAATATATATAATAATAAGATTAACTATTTATACTTTCTTTTAATATCACAATCAAAACTTTGTTTGTTTTGTCGAATTATAAAATCTATTTTTGCATTTCAAAGTAATCAAAAACATGTTTTAAGTATTTAGCCTATATAAATGAAAGCTGAAAAAAAAAATATAAAAAACAAAATTTAAATAATATTTGTAAGCAAAAAGAAAATGCTATAAAATCTGAAGAGATTAAACATATAGTTTATTATTTATAAAAAGCTTATAGATATTTAAGAAGAAAGCAATATACATAAGATAGTTATAAATATTTCTCAAATGACTAATAAATTAAAATTAAATATTACAGAGAAAGTTTTTGCAAGTTTATTAATATTTAAAATTATAAAAATTTGTAAAAAGGAAATGCTATTTATAAAAATATAACAATAAGCAAATCTAGACTACTTTATTTACCTATTGGTGTAATTGTCACTATAAATAGAGGTAAGATTCTTTAAATATCTATTATAGTTATTTACTAAATATTTGTAATTTTTGTATATTATAGCACATTTGTAAACTACTTTAAAATTTGAAAAAATTTGAAATAAATCAATTTAATTTGACTTCATATTTTGTTCTCAAATCTAAATATTTAGTTACTAAATTTATTATTTATCAATTTAAAACTAAGTTCTAAATTTTTTTTGCATTAGTTCTATAGCAACATCTAATTTATCTTCTCACTTATTTAATCTATCTTTCTATTATATAAGTTGTTGTTTAGCAAAACCATATTTAGAATATATATATATTATATATTCTAAGCATGATTAGCTAGACAATAACTCATATCTGTTTAATTCCGCAAATGTGCATTATGATATAAGTAATATTGAATAAATATTCAATTTTATATGGATACTATTATAGGCTAAAAGTAAATCTTTGAAATTAGTACAGTAATCTTGTGATTAAAGAAATAATTGCCTGTTAATAACTAGTTTATCAGTTGAGGCTTATTAGCTAAAAGAGATAAACAACTAAATACAAGAACCTAAAAACATATATATGTAAAGAAGAAAAAGAAAAGACTAAAAATCAAGTTAGAATTTAGAAGTAACTGCAATATAAAAAATTGCAGAAGTGAAGCTAAGCTTTATTCTTTATTATAATTATAAGAACACTTGAAGAACAAAGAATCTAGTAATTAGGATTATTAATAGAGTACTCCAGATATATAACCTACTTCTAAAGTGCTCCAGAGTGGGTTATATGTTTTACTATTAACTGAAGTACTCCATTAACAACTCTACTAATAATTATTACATTATATAAAATCATGCAATTATGTTATTTGTTTACTAGCACTAAACAAATTAGCTTAAACTAACCTATCACCTAATTCTAATACTAACTTTAATATAGGCTAGTATGATATGATTATTATGAAAATATTACTGGATTTCTTGATCTTCAATTTTTTCTAATTAGTTGTAAATTAATCATTGTATGCCTCTTAGAATTAGTTTATTAATTCTTCAATTAGTGCTACAAATCGAAAATTGAAAATTACAACTAATCGAAAAGTTGACAACTAATTGATTGAAAATTTTTGGCAACTCATATTAAAATCAAATAAAAATCAAACAAAAATTGAATAAAAATCAAATAATCGAAAAGTTGACAACTAATTGATTGCAAAATTTTTGGCAATTTGTAGTACTATCTTCAATAATGTAATAATTAATTTATTCTTAAGTCTCTTGAAGTTTTTTTTTAATTTGACAGTCTTGTTAATACTGTTTATTAGATTTACACTAAGGTATTTTTGGTTACAAATATCATGAGTACAATTACAACTATCTAAAGTATATTACAGTATTAGCTTACCCAATTACTAATTTAAGTATCTATATAACCTGCTATATGAGATTTTATCTCTTTATCAACTATAACTGCAACAGCCTAGTTTCAAACTTACTGAATAGTTTTCAAACCTATTATATCATATATATCCTGCTTATATACTACTATACAATATCTACCAACTAACTTCCACCTCTCATCACTTATTACATTACTTCTAATACTAGTTCTTGTATTATTTTTAAATTGGTAGGTACTCTTTGTGCTTCTAGTTTGGTGTCTCTAGAAAAGTTACTTTAAGAGTCTAGCTATATCTCAAATAGTTATCTGTTGCCAAACTAGGATGTTATTTTACATCAATCCAGGTATTCATGTCGTATCCCTTAAATTGTAACACAGGCAAATTTGCCTGCGAAGATTTTTACTAATTTTTTTAATATTTAAATTTTTT